ACCAGTGCACCCGTGATTGTTAACACATTTCGACTTTGTTGAGATTTGGATTTGGGTCACATAAATGTGCACCCGTGTTTAGGAAGGTGATTTTATTTAAAATGCGCGCCTAAAGTAGCTACGCGTTTATTAACTGTGTCGGGGAGCCATGAAATTCGCTAAATGGCACATCCCGAAGTCTAAATATTTTGATATAAGCAATTAATGAGGGCCCCGCAATTTGTGTGTTTTATTTGGCGAGGCTCGTCTCGTCTATCATTTATTTTAAAGGGAATCCTAAAGTGGCTATAACCTTTCTATATTCTTTGCCGACAATAAATTACCTTTCAGCGTTATTGTTCAAGGGTCAGTAAATTTTCTGGATAAAATTGGGCTTTAGTTTTGGCCCAATGCCATTTCAGTGCTGCTTGTGATAACGGGAAAGGCTGCCTGGACATGGGCTTCATCCAATGAGAACAGGCCCAGATGGCCCGTCCAGTTCAGCTTATCAAGCAGCTCTGGATCACATTAGAATGCAATTTATATGTATACTAGAGAATTATACCAGTGCATCAGTAAATCAGGCAATTATTTTGCTGGTTTTATACTTACTTCATTTAACTCATTATTTATCTCATGCATGTTTGTTGGTGACTATTTAAGCTAATGTCTGCTAGCAACTATTGGTACTGGAACTAAAGCGAATTCACATGGAAAAACACTAATGAACCTATTTCAAGTTGTTCAATTGTATCCACTGCTTGCTGCAAATAATTTCAGAAATAGATACGGGATGATTGGACTAAAGTGATTATTAATAGTGCAGAGGTATCAAACTTAAGATGTTCAAGCCCTTATTCTATTCCAACTTCAACTTGTCAGGCTATGATGTTGCATTACTCTACCACACTGGTTCATACAAACAACTGCAATAGGCAGTCCTACTGACGTAACAATAGAAATCGAGACAGTCCAATCATATCAGAATTAACATAATCAGAATTAGAATCCATTACACAGTCCAGATATTCAGTCCAGTTATACAGTCCTTAGTGATTACATGCAACAATAGGGTCCTAATCACTCATAAGTTAAAACAGAGGAGTTCAATAAAAGAGGCATGATCAGCACTTCATTTTCACTTCTGATGCCTGGGGAGTACAAGATGTGTACCTGAATACTTGAATCAAACAGAAAAGGAGGAAGTCAGCAGCAGTAACAATTTCAGCAGCAGTTCAGGAATAAGCTAAAACCCAGCGACAAGCAATAGACGAGTATAATAGCCCATAAAATGTTCAACAGTTCAGGACAAATTGGAAAACCAAGCAGAATCCACAGATCCACCCCAGAATAGGACCAAATAGCCAGAAATGAACTCAGCACTTAGCACAACCAGTATGCAATCAACAATCAACTAGAACTAAGCCCCTCTCATGCGCAAATCACTTCTGATTTTTAATGAGCTAGATAATTGGATTAAGGATTGGAATCAAGGGTGATCTAAAGAGAAATCAATGAAACAGTAAAAATTTTTTTGATTTTTTTTGTCTATTGTTTTCCTGGAAATTTTGAGAAAACTGAGATTTATGGGAGTTGGATTTCAATATTCTGAAACTTGCGGAGAAGAGAAGGGTTTTTTTGATGGCTGAAAAAAAAACTCCCCCTCAACAAGGCAATGGGCATGCCTTTTATAGGCCAAACTAAGGTTCTACCAGATTTTTTTCCTTACATCTCTAGTCCCTCTTTTATTTTCAGTGTTTACCCTTTATTTTCTGCCTTGTTCCACAAGTAACTACCCTAAGTTTACTAAAACCTACACTATAGTCCATCCTAGAAGGTTCTATACTTGTTACAATTCCTATTCTATCCTTAGCCCACTTCAAGAATTACCAAATCTAATAGAACTGCCATTTTCCATGCCAAAACTACCCTTTGAACCTCCTGATATTACTGACCAAGTTAAACCAGTCCATTAACTACAACCAAGCAATCTATTTCTAGGGCTAGAACAATTAAAATCAACTTGCAGTAAACAATTAAAATCAAATTGCAGTAAACAATTAGGATTCGACTAACTGAACCTAAAATCAGACCACTTAAACGTATATGACTACTGGGAATGGTATTGACATGAAGAACAAAACTTAAGCTAGATCCTGAACATGGAATTACTAACGCAATTAAACTAAACTAAACTAATTGATTACTTTGACCAATAACAACAGTAAAGGCTCAAATACTGAAGAAAAAATTGAAATCAAAAGTGCCCTAAAGAGTTAAAGATTATCAAAACAAATTTGAACAAGCATACAGAATCAGAACAGCATCGAACAGAACTTACTAAGTTTGAGCACTCGACTGACTATGAGGCGAACTCTGACCAGCTTTTGTTGTGAATCCTCCGGGATTCTTGACACGTAACATCCCCAATCGTGTGTTTTCCAAAAGAACACACATGATTAGGGAAATTACGGTCCAAAATCCCCAAGATTTTCTGAGTTAGGGTTCTGCCAGTCTAAGATCAAAAATTCGAGGAGTCTTGGCAACATTCGAAAGATTCTGGTTAGGGATTCAGGTAAAGGAGAGGGAGGGGAGTATGGGGTGTAAGTTTGGTAGGGTTTGGAAGAGATAGGGTTTTGGCCGGATTTTTGATTCGATATTTGAGCAGTTCCGGCCATATTCGAGGTAAGTGGCCATGGGGGTTGGGTAAAGGAGGTAAAGGCGGTCCCATGGTGTTAATTTGGGACCGTTTGGCATAACCGGCGACTTGGCCGGAAAATTTTGAACGGAATTCGACGAGTTCCAGTAAGATTTTAAAGCAAAGGACAGTGGATTCAGGTAAAGGAGGAGAAGAGGAATCTGGGGTGTGATTTTGGGGTTGATCGGAGCATCGCCGCCGCCGGCGGCGATTTCCGGACGGCGGCGGACGGCGGAGGGACGGTGGGGCTAGGGCGGAGAAGGGTGGCCGGCACCGGCGTTACAGGGGACGGGTTGGTACGAGGAAGAGGAGTTGTGTTTTGATTTTTTCTGTATAATTCGGACAGTTTTATTTCATTCTGAGAGTCAATCGTGGCCATTGGATTTGGGGAGATGGATGGTCGTGATTAAACGACGTCAAAACGACGTCGTTTTGAGCATGAGGCAATTGGACCGGGCAGGGGTAAACTGGGCCTGGGGTTGGGAATTTCGTTTGGGCTGACTGATTGTGGCCCAAATTTGGTCTCCAATTAAGACCATCTTTTTTAATCTTTTCCCTTTTTCCTTTAATCTTTTTTTTTGATTTTTTTTGATTTATTATTTTCTCTGATTTTATAAAATGCTAAAACAAGTAAAGACCTAATTACACTATTTAACTCCTAGAATTACCAATAACTCTATTTAAAGACAAATGCAATAATTAGCAATGCAAAGAACTATTTTCTTGCAATTTTCTTTACATTTTATTCTAAAATTAATTAATACTAAAATTGTGAAATTAAATCCCTAAATGCCAATGCATATTTTTGGTATTTTCATATGGATTAAAATGCACAAATAAAAATGCGACAATTACCAAAGAATGCCACAAAATTCACAAAAAAATTATAAAATACTCGAAAAAATTGTTTTGTTTGAAATTTTGGGAATTACTGCTTAGGGCAAAAATCACGTGCTCACATATAAATAATAATGCGGACCCGTATTAGTTGTGTTGGGCTAAAACGGCCCAAAGATACTCTTAATATGGTGTGATATTGTACGCTTTGGGCCAAGCCCGCACGGTTTTCCCCAAAAGGCCTCACACCATTAAGTGCCACCCACATTGTTAGAATATTATGGCAACCGAAGCCCGCAACTAGCTTCTTCTTGTGTACATGCCGCGCCGCACCATCACTCCGCCATATCCATACTCGTCCCACTGAACCTGGGTTTTGATACCAGTGGGCTAAAACGGCCCAAAGATACTCTTAACATAGTGTGATATTGTCCGATTTGGGCCAAGCCCGCACGGTTTTCTCCAAAAGGCCTCACACCATTAAGAGATGAGAATTTTTCATAAAGCACTATTTTTTAGGTGTAATTAGCCATTTATAGATACGTTTTGCTATATTACGTATTATAGATACCTTTTATGTGGTTATAAGATGTATTTGATGTATTTAAGCTATTGTATTTATTAATACAATAGCAAAAATAGGCGTGAATCAGGGAATTCCAGCTAAGCTTGAGATGTATTCGAGTGTATTCACGCTGCCTTATCGTGAATACAGTAACGTATTGAGCACAAAATATGGAAGGTTGAACTTGTTTAAAACGGAAAGGAAATCAATTCACCTGATATTTTCCTAATTTAACTCAACTAACACAAACTATTACCCATTAATCTGTATTCCTCCATTCACGATTCAACAAGAAAAATAGCAAAAACAAGAGCAACATCTGGAATTTGAGTTCTCCCTTTTCTCTGTACCCAATTCTCTTTTCAACCACGGAAAAGTGCGATTGATAAAATTGTATACAAAATACGGTATAATTCCATTATACATATGGCAAGTTTAACAGTGTTGTTGCATCATTCTGGCAAGTGGAACGATGAGAGAAATTACGTCGATTTTTTAATTGAGGGAATACTAATAAAGGAGTATGCGTCGTATAATGATTTGGTTGCGTCAAGTTCTAATCAACTGGGCATAGATTTGAGCTCAAAGTCCATAAAAATTCAATACAAAGTAGAAGGGAATAGCACGCCAATGGAAATACACAATGACATGGGTTACAGGGTGTATGTAGAGTTGAAAAAAGAGAATAGAGAATTCGGGATGTATCCTTTGTGCATAACAACGATTGAAAAAGAACTTGTATCCAGTGGTAGTTTAATTCAAGGTGATATTGTGCAAATAGACAAATCACTACAAAGGTATGATTCCGGTACAGATGATACGCTTGCTCTAGATTTTGTCAATTCAGGAGAAGCAATTGAGGTTTGAACTGGACAAGGATTTGATAATTTCAAAAACTAATCAAAGGGAGGTTATGGTTGGACAAGTATATAAGGATAAGGCTACATTGAAAGAGGTGATGGAGAATTATGCTATATCTCAAAGGTTTCAATTCCGGGTTGATAGGTCTAATGCTGTCAGGTTTGAGTGTATTTAATTTTTTTTTGTATATTGTATTATTGGTTGGAGTTGTAAGTTATACGCTGATGTATTTATGCGTATTTGTGGATTTTCACTTGATCTTCACTGATGTGTTTAACATCTGTTTGTTTATGGTCTTTAAACACATGTATTCATATGTATTTTACTGGTATAATTATATTACAGTGGCTCTAATTATTTTCCTATTTTGTTTACTGTTTGTATTTAAGTGTATGCATATAACTATAATTTTATTCAGTTGTATTCATTGTATTTAAATGCATATAACTATAATTGTATTCAGTTGTATAATAATTTATATATATATATATAGATGTCAGAATGTATTCATGTCAGAATGTATTCATGTGTATTTGAGTGCATTTTTGGTAAACATTTATGCTAATCATATGTACAATGATAAATTCTTTGCAGCTATGCATTATTATGTATGTCAGAAGATTTTGAATGGAGGTTTAAGGCTTCGAGCATTAACAAATCAGAACTATTCAAAGTGAGAGAGTTAAATGATAACTATACATGTCCGCTGAAGGACAAGGTGTATGAGCAGCGACAGGCAAGTAGCAGCATTATAGGTGGTATGATTAGGCCTAAGCTTACTAATCATAAGAGGAAATACACCACAAAGGATATTATTGATGATGTGAAATCAGATTTAGGTGTAGATGTTAGCTACATATTGGCGTGGCAGGCTAAAGAAAAGGGAATTAATTTTTTGAGAGGTGAACCGACTGATTCATACAAAAAATTACCAGGATACTTATATACAATGGATATGACATATCCAGGTTCGCACATCAGAATGGTAAAATCGCCAAAAAATGAGTTCATGTATGTGTATATATCTTTGTATGCCTTTATAAAGGGGTTTGATCATTGTAGACCCATTGTGGTTGTGGATGGAAGTCACCTAAAATCTTACTACATCGGGACATTCGTCTCTGCAAGCACGTTGGATGGTGCAGGTGAGTACTTGAATTATAATAAATTCTGTTAATATTTAAAGATTGAAATACATGTTTTAAAAATATGTATTCAATTGTCTTTACAGGTCATATATTGCCACTAGCATATGGTGTTATCGATTCAGAGAACGATGCTGCTTGGACGTGGTTCTTTGAGCAATTCAAGATAGCATACGGTGACAGGGAAAACATGTGCATCATTCAGATAGAAATGAGAGTATCATTAAATNTACCAAGTGCATGCATGTGACTTCGTTTTGTGAGGGTGAGCGATATTTTCTTTTGATATATATGAGTCCTTAAAATATATTTGATCATGAGATTCGAATGTGTGGATTCAACTTACTCTCTTGCCTTGGTTGTGAGGGCACATGGTTTCACGAAGGATAGGTAACGTTATTAGACTTCTCTACGACGTTGGCTGTTCAAGCCAAGAGTGCATTGTGACATTGAGTCGATTTTTGAGGCTAGGATTGTTGTGAGCATGTTGTCTTTGTTGTAAATAATTTTTAAGAATAGTATGAGTAAAAGGGAATTGTTGCATATGTTAGAGTTTAATTGTTGCTATCAACCATGGTCATTGGTGTAGTGTGCTCCAAATGTGTTAAGATGTTAAGTGCTCATAGATAGAGTAAATTTTTGGTTGACTCGAGGACGAGCAACGTTTAAGTGTGGGGTGTTGATGATAGGCTATAATTGCGTATTTTAGTCGCTTATTACACTCTAATTTACTGC